TGTGCAACACAAAAAAGTTATTAAATAGTACACTATAAGTATGATAAATAATTTCTTGATAAGTTATCTGCCTGAGTTTTGATAATGTTCTGAGATTTTAATTTAACTTAACTCTCAGTGTTATACAGCTTTCTCAATGCTTTATCATTCACATCTAGCACTTCATCTTCTTTCACAGCTTCCTACTAATTAGTCTGTGATTTTGTAGAGTAGTATTATAATAGTATAATATGATATATTTATTTGCAACATTTTTTGGGGGATTGAAAACATCTAATAGATCCGATCCCAAGCTTTTGAACTTTTTAAACAATGGTGTATATGTACATGCATATATATATATACATATACGCATGTACATATACACTATAATATATATATATGCAGATATTGTATACAGATAACACATATTTTTACACAGAAAAAAAATGGACATCACCCTTTCATAGTAAACAGTTTATTTTTACTGAAATTTCTTCTATAAAACACTACACACACTCCACACTTGTCTGCCAGAACTCTAACGGCTCAACTGCTACAAACAAAACTCTGGCATCGCTGAATAAACCGTAACTACAGATAATGAATTCTGAAACATGAATACTGTGCAATGCTTTGCAAATAAAAATTAACCACATCTGGATAGATGCCTCTGTGACAATCTTTGTGAATGCGTAGAGAGAGAGAGAGAGAGAGAGAGAGAGAGAGAGAGAGAGAGAGTGAGAGAGTGTCACTTCTTTAAGTACCTTATATATACACTCTGTCCATTTTATCAGCTCCACTTATTATATAGGTGCACTTTGTAGTTCTACAAATACAGACTGTAGTCCATCTGTTTCTCTGCATACTTTGTTAGCCCCCTTTTACCCTGTTCTTCATTGGTGAAGACCCACACAGGACCACCACAGAGCAGGTATTATTTGAGTGGTGGATCATTCTCAGCACTGCAGTAACACTGACGTGGTGGTGGTGTGTTAGTGTGTGTTGCGCTGGTACGAGTGGATCAGACACAGCAGTGCTGCTGGAGTTTTTAAACACTATGTCCACTCACTGTCCACTCTATTAGACACACCTATCTGGCTGTTCCTCCTTGTAGATGTAAAGTTAGAGACAGTAGTTCATCTGTTGCTGCAGTTTGTGTTGGTCATCCTCTAATCCTTCATCAGTGGTCACAGGACGCTGACCATAGGACACTGCTAGCTGGATATTTCTGGTTAGTGGACTATTCTCAGTCCAGCAGTGACACTGAGGTGTTTAAAATCTCCAGCAGCACTGCTTTGTCTGATACACTCATACCAGCACAACACTAACACGCCACCACCATGTCACTGTCACTGCAGTAACCTGTAAACCTGTGGCCCTGTAGACTACACTTTGTAATTGTAGAACTACAAAGTGCACCTATATGGTAAGTGGAGCTGATAAAATGGAATGAGTGTAGATACAAGGAGGTGTGCTTAATGAAGTGGCTGGTCAGTGTACGTATGTGTTGGAACAAAACTTTACATGAGAAAAACGTTCTAAACAGGATTTGTAAGTGATTTTGGACCATTTCTATTGGTCAGTTCAACACGAAATGCAGTGGGAAAGGAATGCAAAGGGTTGTTTTCAAATTATGCAAAAAACAAAAAAACGCAGAGATGATTGATGCAGTGCTTTGACAATACAAATATAAACTTATTATGTCAATAAAGCAAATTTTAAATCTTAAATCTTGAGAGAGACAGAGAGAGCAATAAAGTTTAGACTTTGTGTGAGATAAGCTGGTCAGCACAAAAAACAGTTTCTACATGTGTATGTGTGTCTGTGTGTCTCATGATTTGAGCCCACTGCACCCTCCTGTTTTTTATTTTGACTCGAGTCATGTAAGCAAACACTCTACAGTTACGCTTGGCTGTGTGTGTGTGTGTGTGTGTGTGTGTGTGTGTGTGTGTGTAATCTTATCCATACATAATATTGACCTATTAGGAGATAACTGGCCACCACTGAAACCAGCTCGGGGCAACTAATAATAAAGATTTAAACACACACACACACACACACACACACACACACACACACACACACACACACACACACACACACATCTTCTGCATTGCTGCTGAGAAATCTTCTACTTGATGAGAGAGAGATAGGAAAAGAGGATTTGGAGGGAAAGAGAAACACAGAAGAACTGAACTATCAAAGAAGAGAAAGAATGGAGAGACAGAGAGAGAGAGAGAGAGAGAGAGAGAGCATGCTGTGTGTGTTTGTGTTGGGTTTTCTGTGTCTGTTGGTGTTTGATTTTATCATCACTGTGCTACAAATTGAGGCAGAGAGCATGCAGTGTGTGTTTGATCCAGTGTATATCTCACTGGAGGACACACATCTGAACACAATTAAAGCCACAACGGCAAGAGCAACAGCCTCTCTCTCGCTCTCTCTATCTCTCACTCTCTTTCTATCTCTCTCTCTCATACATTCTCTTTCTCTATTTGTCTCTCTCATTGTCTCTGTCTCA